GGATAGGATGATCCTATTGGTGATCATGTGTCTACAATGGCGCATGCATATAGTTTATTCTTTGATAAGGGCAAATGTCCTGTATAATCAATTTGTATAATTTTGAAGGGTCTGTCACTTTAACCTTATCTGGTGTATTCATTAATTACTTCCAAGCTTTAAACTTTCAGCAATTCTCATATTTCTTAATTTGAAATTGAAGACATTTCATGGGTATATACATGCTTCTTTCCTCTAACCATGTTCTAGTGCTGTGTGTAATAGCATGACTTCTTTGGTGATGTGCCCATGCAATGATCCTATCAGTTGGCATAGCTGTGCATTTAGGTATTACATTCTAATGTCTTTCTTCTTTATTTTATGGTTATGTTTTGAATTGGTTATCTCCTTAGCCATGAATCTTTTTTTTTTTTTTTTTAAGATAAATTTTAGGATTCTTTGATTTACTAGTTTTCTTGTTGAGTTTATCTACCTGGTTATTAAATTTGGTTACTTCAGAGTTGTCCTTTTGATCTGTAGAGACATGTATGATGAATAGGGCCATGTTAGCCAGTGATATTTTCTGCCATCTGTCCTTACTGCATATGCTATTTCTCATTTTCCATTCATTTTCCTGCCATGTTCCTGACCAAAGAGCTTTTCCATTAGCTACTTCCCACGGGTCTGATAAAACATGTGTCATTCTACCTTTTTTTGAACTGAGTGTTCCCTCATCAATTTTAAAATTAGTTCGGTGTACTGTGCTGCTTTTCCAGAGCCTGCTTCTGTCAGGATTAGACCGTCATTAGTCCTCAAGGTTGCAGTCTACCAGTATAATCCAGATGATGTCACGGAGGCTGATCCATCTGTAAACCATTCAGAGGACCAGGGTGCTCCCATTGCCCAAGTGCTCAAGCTTGGATAGGCTTACGCTGTTGGAAATTCTAGCAACTTCACTATTGGTATTGCAGAGATTTCCTCAGTTCATGCAGATGGTTCAAACTTCATCCATTAGTCCTGCTTGGAAAAACACAATTTCCACTTAGAACTTTATGGTCAGGAGTTGTTCCCCTCTGTCAGGGGTCTGCTTTACCCACTCCAAAATGGGCTATTGGCATTTAACTATAATTGGTTTATATTCTGTTACTGGCTCTGTGTTCTGTAAGGCCACATAGAGTGCCTAAGTGAGCATTCCAATTGGTTAGTTATCTGGTCTTGGACCATGGGAACTTACTAGTCCTAAACACAATCTGGTAAAATTTGAGGTCCTGCAATGTTTTAATCCACAGACACCATGTTGTAAACCTTGTGAGTATAGACACTTCAGTTTATATTTGGAGTCTTACTATCTGACACCAATGTATTAAGAATTTGAGTGCATTTTTGAAATAACTGAAGCCTGCTTTTTGAGTAGCTGTCCAACTGAATTCCCTATCTTCCTTGTTACTTCAGAAATGTGTTTTAGTATTATCCCCATTAGAGGTATGTGTCGTTTCCAATATCTAAACAGTCCTATCAGTTTCTGAGCTGCTGCTTTTGTGGTAGCAGCTGGGATGCAATCTATCTTGTTTATGACTGGGTCTGTTATATTTCTGTCTTCAGAGGACCAAATTATGCCTAGAAATTTTACAGTAGTGTGGGGTCCTTAGATGTTACTTGGGTCAATTGTCCATGCTCTGAGTGTAAGGAATTCAATTAACTCTATTACAACCCTAGTCTGTTCCAAGTTAGCACCATAAATGAGCATGTCACCAATATAAGAAATGCTGCTGCTGTGTGTGTGTGTGTGTGTGTGTTGTTTTCCTGAAAAGCCTGGATGTCTTGTGTTAGAAGGTTGTGTGCTATTACTGGCTGTTAAGGTCTCCTGTTGGTAATATAGTAAACTGATATCATTTGCCTTGTCATGTGAATGCAGTCAGGAGTAGGCTCTCCTTATCAACTGGAATAGCAAAGAACATGTCACATGAATCTATCCCTATGAATAAGTTCCAGATCCAGTGGTGGTATTGTTTATGCCTATATTCAGGAGTGCTCCTTCAATTTGGAGAGAGTATTTACATTCCTAATATCTACTAGATAAATGTATCTGACCTTTCTGGATTTTTGACAGGACAGATTTATTTATATGGTGAAATAGTAGGAACAATCATTTGTTTCTTTAGAAGTTCCTGAATGGTTCCTTATGATGTGTCCTATTATATCAATTCTAAGAATTTTTTCTAAATTGGGACTTTGAAAGCATTTAAAGTCTGTCCTCAGGCGGGGCACCTGGGTGGCTCAGTCGGTTAAGTGTCTGACTTCAGCTCAGGTCATGATCTCACGGTTTGTGGGTTTAATCCCTGCATTGGGCTCTCTGCTGACAGCTCAGAGCCTGGAGCCTGCTTTGGATTCTATGTCTCCCTCTCTCTCTCTGCCCCTCCCTTACTCATGCTCTGTCTCTGTCTCAAAAATAAACATTAAAAGAAATAAAGTCTGTCCTCAGGAGCATCTGGCTGGCTCAGTCAGTAGAGTGTGTGACTTTTGATCTCAGGGTTGTGAGTTTGAGTCCCACATTGGGGACTCAATCTTAAAATCTTAAAAAAAAATCTGCCCTCATTGATAGGAATCTATGTGTATATTCATGTGCATGGGGTTAATTTTCCTTCTAATCCTTCAGTTGGTCCCTTTTTATTGTTTAAATTCTCAAATTAGTAGGATATCTTTGTATCAAAATTAGTAGGATATCTTTGTATCATTGTTACTGGGACCCTGTATCTAACAATACAGCAGTATACATAATATTTTTATTTGCAAGAGAAGTTTCTATTTATATGGCCAGTGTAACACATGGGCAATTGTCTCTGGCCTGGGGCAAGGATAAAAAACTGCTGAGTCCTGTGGGGAGCTCACAGGGTTTGCTCTCTTGGGCTAGCAGTGATTTGTCTGTTAATGGGATTAGGTTTTGTAAAGGGGTAGTATTTACAGTAAATGGACTAGTGGGTATATGTGGGTTTATTTTCCGCAATTCTATTTACTGTACAAGCTTGGTTGTTTTTCTGCCTGTGTAGTTTCTGGAGCATTTTTTGAGTTTCTATGGTTATAATTTGTTTTCAAGGGTGGTGGTCTAAATGGTCTAGGTAGCCAAAAGGGCCTCGTAGATTTGGGTCTAGATGGCCTATTTTGATTGGCATTTTTTTTTTTAATTTTTATGAGGCATAGGCTTCTATTGTCTATATACATAAGTGTTAAAATTATCCTTTATATCTTGACTTAGTTCCTCAGCTGTCCTTATCAAGCCAATCAGTTCTCCTGTTTCTGGGGCCTACAAATACGATAAATAATGCTGTTGTGACTGTGGGCAGGGGAAGGGGTACAGCTTTTAGACTTCTTAATTCTCTTGCTTCCACATTTAGCAGTGTTGGTTTCTGCCCTTATCATAAATCATAGTTAATAGTCCTAGTTTCATTATATTAGTAGCTTCCTCTGCTGTTTCTTATGGAGGTGTTGTGAGGGATGATATATTTTTAGTAGACCATCTTAATCTCCAGGTTGCTGCTACCCAAAGATTTTATAAATTAGTACTGTTTTCCCCAGATGCTCTAAGGTATTGATTCAATGTAGCAATGCTGGTAATGGGTTTGAGGTGCACAATCTCTGCTCCTGTGAGGATCAGGTTTTGTCCTCCTTTGGACCATAAATCTAATAGTCACTGAGTTTGTAGGTCAAAATCAGTATGTTGGAATTCCAGTTTTTGTTCTTTCTTGTTTGGTATAAGGTTTCTCTTTAGTGATTCTGATTGGTTCCATATTATCATTTGTTGTAGTTTTGTCTATTTTCGTAGGCCTAGCTTCTAGGTAGTTAAAATGAACAGGGTCAAAAAGGGTTAAAATAATCAGCTCAGGGTGTGGGTTGGTGCCCTAAGGAGCATTCTACCCTGGAGATCACTTTTTGTGCTGGCACTTTTCCTTTCTATCTATAGGCATCTATGCAAGCTAATGCTCTTAACAAGAGTGCTGTAATGTCTTTAGTTGGTCTTTCTAATACAGGATGTAACTCAGTGGGTCAGGTGATCAGGCCAACATCTGGAGTCTCAAATTTTGTCCAATCTAAAATTTCAATAGGTCTCTCAGAATCCTCTGAAGTTAATTATGTAATCTATTCTACCCCTAAACCTCCTCTTGAGTGATTTTGGTGGGATTAGTGAACAAGGCATATTTTCAGTCTGTTCCCTTTCAGAACTATGTTCAAAATAGGTTTTGTTATGGAAGTCTGCTGATGGGGAGGAAATAGTGCATGTGCAAGACAAGCAAATCAGAGTATCTAGGGACCTGTTTCAGAAAACTTGTCAGGGGTAGCCTGGTCATGGCAGTAGGCCATTGGGGGTATAGGGCATCTTCCCAATTCTAAGCCCTAACCTACACCGATGTGCAGATTCTCCCTGAAGGCAGAGGAGGAAGACCTAGACTGCCTTGCACAGTTTGCTTGTGCAAAGTGGCCCAAGTATCCTATAATAAGGGACACCTGGGTGCCTTGGAGAATCCCAGAAGCCATCAGAAAACCAGTGAAAATATAAACTTTCACCAGTTTAAAGCTGACACCTCAGGAATATTTTTGGGGTTGGCCTCTCACTGCCCTGGTAGTGATACAGGTAAGATTGGGGACCAGCCAGAGCTCCACAGACCTGGGGCGCCCTTGCTACCCAAAGGCTGGTTGATACGTATTTATTATTCATGCACAGGTGAGGCAGGACAGTATAGTCAGGGGCCTGGAACATAAAAAGTATCCAGAGAGTCCAGATGTCCAGAGCAGGCTCTTGGGTGTCCATGGCATCTGCCTATAGCCAAGCCCCAACCTACACTAAATGCATGTATTCCCTCTGAGGGCAAAGTTGGAGCAGTGTGGGGCCAGCTGGTCTGGCTGGGGTACCCTTCATTAAGAGGCACCTGGGCGACTTGATTATTGGTTTTGGGGAGGAAGAATTTTCTTTTCCACCCTTTTCTTCCCTTCAAACTAGTCTAAGAATTAAATTGACATGGGACAGATTAACACAAGAAAAAAATTTTTATTTTGTATACACAGATGTCCAATAATGAAATTGAGACTCCCCAGATGACCAAAGCAAGCAGCTGTTGTATGTTTAGGCAAAGAACCATAAATCTGTGAGGAATGGACAAAGCCGAGAAAACTTATGTTCATTGGCTTTATTAACATACAATTCTAAACAGAATTTGGGCTGAGGTAGTAAACTAGTAAAAGTAACAAGACTTGTTGATTTATACAGTCTTCTTGGCTCTAAATACCTATTTCAGGTGATAAGGATGTCTTTCTGCTCCCTGATGCAGGCAGGATAGCTTTCACATTGGAGATTTATTTCCTGCTATCTGGAGACAAAGAGAGTCAGAATGTTCTTCTGTTCTTAAATAGCTTTAATTCAAAATAACATGACAAAGTGGCATATTTTAGGGTGGCCTGGCCTGGGCCCCTAGAGTTCCTTAGAAACTCCACATACTAAAATGTGAGCTGGTAGATTGTTTTATCTCACTGGGCTAGTCTCTTAGAGTTGAAAATAGGTCAGTTCTACTAAATTCATTTCAGGAAATGGTGATGGATGTGTGTTCCCAAAGTTAGGCTCATGGTTCAAGCAGGTATTAAATAAGAGGCATTTCTGTGGAAACAAGAGAAAAATAATGGTTAAGGGTTGGAACAAATTATAAACCAGTTTCAGAGTTCTGAGGGTACCCAGTTGAGGTGAGTTTTAGATGTCAAAGTATCTTTAGATGGATTGAAAGCAGGCAATGGCCATCTTCCAGATTTTCTTGGTTTGTAGTTTGAATGTCTCTGATGATTATTTTTCTTCTTCTTTTTCTAAATATGAAATTTATTGTCAAATTGGTTTCCATACAACACCCAGTGCTCATCCCAACAGGTGCCCTCCTCAATGCCCATCACCCACTTTCCCCTCCCACCCACCCACCATCAACCCTCAGTTATTCTCAGTTTTTAAGAGTCTCTTATGGTTTGCCTCCCTCCCTAACTTTTTCCCCTCCCCCCCCATGGTCTTCTGTTAAGTTTCTCAGGATCCACATAAAAGTGAAAACATATGGTATCTGTCTTTCTCTGTATGACTTATTTCACTTAGATAACACTCCCCAGTTCCAACCACGTTGCTACAAAAGGCCAGATTTCATTTTTCTCATTGTCAAGTAGTATTCCATTGTATATATGAACCACAATTTCTTTATCCATTCATCAGTTGATGGACATTTAGGCTCTTTCCATAATTTGGCTATTGTTGAAAGTGCGGCTATAAACATTGGAGTACAAGTCCCCCTATGCATGAGCACCCCTGTGTCCTTTGGGTAAATTCCTAGCAGTGCTATTTCTGGGTCAAGGGTAGATCTATTTTTAACTTTTTGAGGAGCCTCCACACTGTTTTTCAGAGTGGCTGTACCAGTTTGCATTTGCACCAGTGTCTATTCATGTTTTCTGCCCATTTCTTCACTGGATTATTTGTTTTTTGGGTGTGGAGTTTGGTGAGTTCTTCGTAGTTTGGATACTAGCCCTTTATCTGATATGTCATTTGCAAATATCTTTTCCCATTCTGTTGGTTGCCTTTTAGTTTTGTTGATTGTTTCCTTTGCAGTGCAGAAGGTTTTTATCTTGGTGAGGTCCCAATAGTTCATTTTTGCTTTTGTTTCCCTGGCCTCTGGAGATGTGTTGAGTAAGAAGTTGCTGCGGCCGAGGTTAAAGAGGTTTTTGCCTGCTTTCTCCTTGAGGATTTTGATGGCTTCCTCTCTTGCTTTTCGGTCTTTCATCCATTTTGAGTTTATTTTTGTGTCTGGTGTAAGAAAGTGGTCCAGGTTCATTCTTCTGCATGTCGCTGTCCAGTTTTCCCAGCACCACTTGCTGAAGAGACTGTCTTTACTCCATTGGATATTCTTTCCTGCTTTGTCAAAGATTAGTTGGCCATACTTTTGTGGGTCCATTTCTGGAGTCTCTAGTCTATTCCATTGGTTTATGTGTCTTTTTGTGCCAATACCATGCTGTCTTGATGATTACAGCTTTGTAGTAGAGGCTAAAGTCTGGGGGATTGTGATGCCTCCCACTTTGGTCTTCTTCGTCAATATTACTTTGGCTATTCGGGGTCTTTTGTGGTTCCATACAAATTTTAGGATTGCTTGTTTTAGCTTCGAGAAGAATGCTGGTGCAATTTTGATTGGGATTGCATTGAATGTGTAGATAGCTTTGGGTAGTATTGACATTTTAACAATATTTATTCTTCCAATCCATGAGCATGGAATGTTTTTCCATTTCTTTGTGTCTTCTTCAATTTCCTTCATAAGCTTTCTATAGTTTTCAGCATACAGATATTTTACATCTTTGGTTACGTTTATTCCTAGGTATTTTATGCTTCTTGGTGCAATTGCGAATGGGATCAGTTTCTTTGTCTTCATTGCTTCATTATTAGTGTATAAGAATGCAACTCATTTCTATACATAAACTTTGTATCCTGTGATGTTGCTGAATTCATGTATCAGTTCTAGCAAACTTATTATACATCGGTTTTTCCATGTATAATATTATGTCATCTGCAAAAAGTGAAAGCTTGACTTCATCTTTGCCAATTTTGATGCCTTTGATTTCCTTTTGTTGTCTGATTGCTGATGCTAGAACTTCCAACACTATGTTAAACAACAGTGGTGAGAGTGGACATCCCTGTTGTGTTCCTGATCTCAGGGGGAAAGCTCTCAGTTTTTCCCCATTGAGGATGATATTAGCTGTGGGCTTTTCATAAATGGCTTTTATGATCTTTAAGTATGTTCTTTCTATCCTTTCTCAAGGGTTTTAATTAAGAAAGGATGCTGAATTTTGTCCAATGCTTTTTCTGCATCGATTGACAGGATCATATGGTTCTTTTCTTTTACTAATGTCATGTATCATATTGATTGATTTGCAAATGTTGAACCAGGTCTGCAGCTCAGGAATGAATCCCACTTGATCATGGTGAATAATTCATTTTGTAGGCTGTTGAATTTGATTTGCTAGTATATTGTGGAGAATTTTTGCATCCATATTCATCAGGGATATTGGCCTGTAGTTCTCTTGTTTTGCTGGGTCTCTGTGAGGTTTGGGAATCAAAGTAATGCTGGCTTCATAGAATGAGTCTGGAAGTTTTCCTTCTCTATTTTTTGAAGCAGCTTGAAAAGAATAGGCATTATCTCTGCTTTAAATGTCTAGTAGACTTCCCCAGGGAAGCCATCTGGTCCTGGACTCTTATTTGTTAGGAGAATTTTGATAACTGATTCAATTTCTTCGCTAGTTATGGGTCTGTTCAAGTTTTCTATTTCTTCCTGTTTGAGTTTTGGAACTGTGTGGGTGCTTAGGAATTTTTCCATTTCTTCCAGGTTGTCCAGTTTGTTGGCATATAATTTTTCATAGTATTCCCTGATAATTGCTTATATTTCTGAGGGATTGCTTGTAATAATTCCATTTTCATTAATGATTTTATCTAGTTGGGTCATCTCCCTTTTCTTTTTGAGAAGCCTGGCTAGAGGTTTATCAATTTTTTTTTTTCCAGAAAACCAACTCTTGGTTTCATTGATCTGCTCTGCAGTTTTTTTAGATTCTATATTGTTTATTTCTGCTCTGATCTTTATTTCTCTTCTGCTGGGTTTGGGGTGTCTTTGCTGTTCTGCTTCTATTTCCTTTAGGTGTGCTGTTAGATTTTGTATTTGGGATTTTTCTTGTTTCTTGAGATAGGCCTGGATTGCAATGTATTTTCCTCTCAGGACTGCCTTTGCTGCATCCCAAAGCGTTTGGATTGTTGTATTTTCATTTGTTTCCATATATTTCTTAATTTCTTCTCTAATTGCCTGGTTAACCCATTCATTCTTTAGTAGGGTGTTCTTTAACCTCCATGCTTTTGGAGGTTTTCCAGACCTTTTCCTGTGGTTGATTTCAAGTTTCATAGCATTGTGGTCTGAAAATGTGCATGGTATGATCTCAATTCTTGTATACTTATGAAGGGCTGTTTTGTGACCTAGTATGTGATCTATCTTGGAGAAGGTTCCATGTGCACTCGAGAAGAAAGTATATTCTGTTGCTTTGGGATGCAGAGGTCTAAATATATCTGTCAAGTCCATCTGATCCAATGTATCATTCAGGGCCCTTGTTTCTTTATTGATCCTGTGTCTAGATGATCCATTGTTGTAAGTGGAGTGTTAAAGTCCCCTGCAATTACCATATTCTTATCAATAAGGTTGCTTATGTTTGTGATTGTTTTATATATTTGGGGGCTCCCATATTCGGTGTATAGACATTTATAATTGTTAGCTCTTCCTGATAGACCCTGTAATTATATAATACCTTTCTTCATCTCTTGTTACAGCCTTTAATTTGACATCTAGTTTGATATAAGTGTGGCTACTTCAGCTTTCTTTTGACTTCCAGTGGCATGATAGATCTCCGTCCCCTCACTTTCAATCTGAAGGTGTCCTCAGGTCTAAAATGAGTCTCTTGTAGACAGCAAATAGATGGGTCTTGTTTTTTTTATCCATTCTGATGTCTATCCTATGTCTTTTGGCTGGAGCATTTAGCCCATTTACATTCAGTGTGATTATTGAAAGATATGGGTTTAGAGTCATTGTGATGTCAGGTTTCAAGTTTGTAGTGATGTCTCTGGTCCTTGAAATATTTCACTCACAGAATCCCCCTTAGGATCTCTTGTAGGGCTGGTTTAGTGGTGATGAATTCCTTCAGTTTTTGTTTGTTTGGGAAAGCCTTTATCTCTCCTTCTATTCTGAATGACAGACTTGCTGGATAAAGGATTCTTGGCTGCATATTTTTTTCTGTTCAACACATTGAAGATTTCCTGCCATTCCTTTCTGGTCTGCCAAGTTTCAGTAACTAGGTCTGCCACTAGTCTTATTGGTCTCCCTTTATATGTTAGAGCCTGTTTTATCCCTAACTGCTTTCAGAATTTTCTCTTTATCCTTGTATTTTGCCAGTTTCACTATGATATGTTGTGCAGAAGATCGATTCAAGTTATGTCTGAAGTGAGTTCTCTGTGCCTCTTGGATTTCAATGCCTTTTTCCTTCCCCAGATCAGGGAAGTTCTCAGCTATGATTTCTTCAAGTACACCTTCAGCACCTTTCCCTCTCTCTTCCTCTTCCTCTTCTTCTTCTTCTGGAATTCCTATGATACGGATATTGTTCCGTTTGATTGCATCACTTAGTTCTCTAATTCTTCCCTCATACTCCTGGATTGTTTTATCTTCTCAGCTTCCTCTTTTTCCATAATTTTATCTTCTAATTCACCTATTCTCTCCTCTGCTTCTTTAATCCATGCTATGGCCGCCTCCATTTTATTTTGCATCTCATTTATAGCATTTTTTTTTAGCTCATGACTATCTCTTAGTCCCTGGATCTCTGCAGTCCTCTATTCATTTTTCAAGCGCAGCAATTTTAGGACATTATTCTAAATTCTTGTTCCATTATATTGCTTAAATCAGTTTTGATCAATTCATTAGCTGTTGCTACTTCCTGGGAGTTTCTTTTGAGGAGAATTCTTCTGTTTTATCATTTTGGGTAGTCACTGGGGTGGCTCCAAACTGCAGGGCACTTCCCTTGTGCTGTCGGGAGTAATTTGTGTTGGTGGGCGGGGCTGCAGTCAGACCCAATGTCTGTCCCCAGCCCACCGGTGGGGCTGCAGTCAGACTGGTGTGTACCTTATGTTCCCCTCTCCCAGGGGCAGGACTCATTGTGGAGTGGTGTGGCCCCTGTCTGGGCCACTTGCACACTGCCAGGCTTGTGGTACTGCTTTAATGGGATCTGGCCAAGGGTGTATTAGCAGGGGTGGATCCACAAGGTGCACAGGGGCAGGAGGGCAGGCTTAGCTCGCTTTGGCATCAGTGGTCCCCTGTGGGAGGGGCCCTGCAGCACGGGGAGGGAGACAGACCCCTCGGAGGGATGGATCCACAGAAGCACAGCGTTGGGTATTTGTGCAGTGCAAGCAAGTTCGGTGATGGGAACTGGTTCCCTTTGGGATTTTGGCTGGGTGATGGGAGAGGGAGATGGCACTTACCAGCACCTTTGTTCCCTCACTGAGCTGAGCCCTGTCCTCCAGGGCTTGACAACTCTCCCTCCGGGTGTCCTCTTGCCCTCCCTGCTCTCCAAGAGCAGAGCTGTTGACTCTTAACATTCCAGATGTTAGTCCTGCTGTCAGAACACACTCTGTCCGGCCCCTCTGCTTTTGCCAGCCAGACTCGGGGGCTCTGCCTTGCTGGGTGGGCTGCCCCTCCACCGCCCCAGCTCCCTCCCGCCAGTCTGAGTAGCACACGCTGCCTCTCCACCCTTCCTACCCTCTTCCGTGGGCCTCTTGTCTGCACTTGGCTTCAGAGAGTCCGTTCTGCTAGTTTTCTGGGTTATTTAGGCAGATGTGGGTGGAATCTAAGTGATCAGCAGGACAAGGTGAGCCCAGTGTCCTCCTACACCTCCATATTCCTCTTGAATACTGTTTATCTTTTTGAGTGGACACACAGCAACCTGCACAAAGATCATCCATGCATGTGCTGTTGTGACAATTTCCCTGAAGTTTACATCAAGTCATTCATACTCAGTTTGGAAGTCCTCAGAAAAAAGGTCAGATTTCATTTTCAATGATTTCAAGTCAAAAGGATGGGAGAAAATTGTAAATGTTAGTTTGGAGAGTTGTAGCCAGAGTTTGGATGAAACCAGAAGACTTCAGGATCTGGTCAAGTTTACAGGTAGACAACAAAATATCAAAAATGATGAACAGAAATAGAATCTAGAATCCAAAAGTACATTTCATAGTTTCAAATGAAACAGTTTTTTTCTCTCTACACTTACCCTCATTTCTATCAGTGATAACCATTGTAAGACTAATTTGTTTGCCAATTACGTCTAGTTTCAAGAAACCTGATTATTTACAGAGTGCAGCAAGAGTAGCAATTGGTCATACAAGCTCTTTTAAACCTGCTTTGGTGGAACTTTCCATAGGGAATCTCCAGACTGAACTTTGAGCAGCCTCTTGAAGCGAAGAAGCCAACCCAAATACTTGCCATCAGGCTTTGCCTGCAATATCTGTAGAATTAAATTCTTTCTTTCTTTTCAAGATCTCCCAAATATCCTGATATTTCTCCATCTGCCAGATGTGACCTTACTCACCTGGTAAGGCTGCTGAGATCCTTGTAAGCAAGATAGCAGGCTGATATTCCTAGGGGGATTTATTGGCTCCATTAAGTCATCCTTAGTTCCATAAAGCATAGACTCATAAATCTGAGTCTATGCATGTTTGTCTCAAATATGACATTTCAGTCAAAGCCTTGGTAATATAACCAATGTTTCCAACTGTGTCTTGTCACAAAGAGAAAAGATTCTTATTGATCTTAGGCAAATATTTCTATGAAACCATAAGAATGCTCACTGAGAGATTCCAAATTCTGGAGAGATCAGGTAGGGGAGAAAGATAGATGTTGCAATTCTGCTAAAAAGGTACAATTTACCAAATTGCTGTGAGTCGTATTTAGTTTAAGAGGAAAGGCTTTCTTATATCTGGAAAACAAAGATGAAATAACAAGCAGTACTGCAAACAAAAAGCCATAAAAATTATCATCATTCTCAGTTTATTCATTCCTATGTGATAATTTTTTGTTGATCTTGATCTTTTGTTAGTAGTTTTTTTTTTTTTTTAATTTTTTTTCAACCTTTTTTATTTTTTATTTTTGGGACAGAGAGAGACAGAGCATGAACGGGGGAGGGGCAGAGAGAGAGGGAGACACAGAATCAGAAACAGGCTCCAGGCTCCGAGCCATCAACCCAGAGCCCGACGCGGGGCTCGAACTCACGGACCGCGAGATCGTGACCTGGCTGAAGTCGGACGCTTAACCGACTGCGCCACCCAGGCGCCCCTTTTGTTAGTAGTTTTAAGAAGCCTTCAGTTTCTGTTAGAGTTCTATAAATTCTTACCCAGTTCAATGGCATGATCTTAAAGTTAGTAGAGACCTGTATTCGAGAGTACTTGTCAGAGTCCTTTCCCTGAATCTCTTTGAAGATGAAAGACTTTTGCAGTAGCATCAGAGTTAACCTTTTGTCTGTAAATGACAAAAGTCTTAAAATTGCAGTGGTTAAGGATCTGATCAGAGTTCATTACAATGTTACTGACAAGGTAATTTGGTCATTTCTATCACATAGCACTTCAAGATTAGAACTAGAATGGCAAGCGATAACATATTGAGACATATCAGATTTCTAGGAATTTCATACAATTTCTAGAACACTAATCTTAACATACGTTTACACAAATATAATCTAAGAAAGGTTAGCATCACTTATTTGACATTACTTCCCAGGTGATTTAACATACCAAGTAAGACAATTCTCTCTCTTTTACAAGGAGAACAAATCCTTCAAATGTCCTAGGGACCTGCTGGAATATTTCAAAGTTAGTTGGTGGTCAAGACTTCATTTTAAAATTTGATTTTGGGAGGTTTGTCAAATATCAAAAAGTTTGGACATTTAATTAAATAGGATCACAGATCATTATGAAACCATACTTAGTTATCAATTTAGCCAAAGTGCCAATTAGAGACTTCAAAGACAAACACAGGTAGTTACATGGCTGTAAAAGCCTTAGCTCTTTTAATATTAAATAGAAAAAAAACCCAAAGACCTTATAAAGACAACACAGACTCTTTGTTTTCCTAGGTAGATTACATAAATGGTAAAGAAAAAAATTACTTACAACTTCTTATTAAAAGAAGACCAATAATCTAAGAAAAGTTTATCCTTTTAACAGAGTGAGAAGCCAAATTTTAATTTTGTACAAGCTTACTTTTGATATTAAAACTCATTTTTTAAAAATGTTTATGAGAGAGAGAAAGAGTAAGAGCATGAGTTGGGGGGGCGGGGAGTGGTGCAGAGAGAGAGGAGGCAGAGATCCCAAGCCGTGCTGTATGGACATCAGAGGGCCCAATGTGGGGCTTGAACTCACAAACCATGAGATCATGACCTGAGCCAAAGTCTGACTCTTAACCAACTGAGCCACCAGGTGCCCCTTAAAACTCGTGTTTAAACTAAATTCATTTTATTTTATTTATTTTTTTTTTTTTGAGAGTGCATGCAAGTGTGAGTTGGGGAGGGGCAGGGAGAGGAACAGATAATGCTAAGCAGGCTTCATGCTCAGCATGGAGTCTGATGAGGCACTTGATCTCATGACTGTGAGATCATGACCTGAGCTAAAATCAAGAGGTGGACAGTTAACCAACTGAGTCACCTAGGCACCCCTAAATAAATTCATTTTAATCTTAACCAATTGACCACACATTAAAATCTCTTTTTAAAGATTCCTTTTTCAGAGATGAAAAACGTATACACTGAAGACTATAGGAAGCTTATGAAAGAAATTGAAGACACACAAAAATGGAAAAATATTCCATGCTCCTGGATTGGAAGAATAAATATTGTTAAAATGTCAATACTACCCAAAGCTATCTACATAGTCAATGCAATCCCTATCAAAATAACAGCAGCATTCTTCACAGAACTAGAACAATCCTAAAATTTGTAATGAGCCAGAAAAAAACCTGAATAACCAAAGCAATCCTGAAAAAGAAAACCAAAGGTGGAAGCATCACAATCCCAGACTTCAAGCTATATTACAAAACTGTAATCATCAAGACAGCATGGTATTGGCACAAAAACAGACACATAAACCAATGGAATAGACTAGAGACTCCAGAAATGGACCCACAAAAGTATGGCCAACTAATCTTTGACAAAGCAGGAAAGAATATCCAATGGAGTAAAGACAGTCTCTTCAGCAAGTGGTGCTGGGAAAACTGGACAGCGACATGCAGAAGAATGAACCTGGACCACTTTCTTACACCAGACACAAAAATAAACTCAAAATGGATGAAAGACCGAAAAGCAAGAGAGGAAGCCATCAAAATCCTCAAGGAGAAAGCAGGCAAAAACCTCTTTAACCTCGGCCGCAGCAACTTCTTACTCAACACATCTCCAGAGGCAAGGGAAACAAAAGCAAAAATGAACTACTGGGACCTCATGAAGATAAAAAGCTTCTGCACAGTGAAGGAATCAATCAGCAAAACTAAAAGGTAACCAAGGGAATGGGAGGAGATATTTGCAAATGACATATCAGATAAAGGGTTAGTATCCAAAATCTGTAAAGAACTTATCAAACTCAACACCCAAAAAACAAATAATCCAGTGAAGAAATGGGCAAAAGACATGAATAGACATTTTTCCGAAGGAGACATCCAGATGGTTGACACATGTGTTTTAGACACATGTCGAAAATGCTCAATATCACTCATCATCAGGGAAATACAAGTCAAAACCATAATGAGATACCACCTCACACCTGTCAGAATGGCTAACAACTCAGGCAACAACAGATAGGCGAGGATGTGGAGAAAGAGGATCTCTTTTGCATTGTTGGTGGGAATGCAAGCTGGTGCAGCCATTCTGGAAAACAGTATGGAGGTTTCTCAAAAAATTAAAAATAGAACACCTTATGACCCAGCAATTGCAATACCAGGTATTTATCCAAGGGATACAGGTGTGCTGTTTCAAAGGGGCACTTGCACCCTAATGTTTATAGCAGCACTATCCACAATAGCCAAAGTACAGAAAGAGCCCAAATGTCCATCGATGGATGAATGGATAAAGATGTGGTATATACATACAATGGAGCATTACTCGGCAATCAAAAAGAATGAAATCTTGGGGCGCCTGGGTGGCGCAGTCGGTTAAGCGTCCGACTTCAGCCAGGTCACGATCTCGCGGTCCGGGAGTTCGAGCCCCGCGTCGGGCTCTGGGCTGATGGCTCAGAGCCTGGAGCCTGTTTCCGATTCTGTGTCTCCCTCTCTCTCTGCCCCTCCCCCATTCACGCTCTGTCTCTCTCTGTCCCAAAAATAAATAAACGTTGAAAAAAAAAAAAAAAGAATGAAATCTTGCTATTTGCAACTACATGGATGGAACTGGAGGGTATTATGCTAAGTGAAATTAGATCAAGACAAATATCATATGACTTCACTCATATGAGGACTTTAAGAGACAAAACAGATGAACATAAGGGAAAGGAAGCAAAAATAATATAAAAACAGGGAGGGGGACAAAACATTAGAGACTCATAAATATGGAGAACAAACAGGGTTACTGGAGGGGGGTGTGGGAGGGGGGATGGGCTAAATGGGTAAGGGGCACTAAGGAACCTACTCCTGAAATCGTTGCACTATATGCTAATTTGGATACAAATTAAAAAAAAAAAAAACAATTGTGGTTAGATCACCCACAAACACTTCATGAGATATCACAGAAAGTCGTCCAGTCTTCCAAGCTATTCTGTTCTTGTTGGCATATTTTGTAACCTAAATAACATGAACTTATTTGACTTTCAGTAGACCCAAGCAGAATGAAAGTTTTAATTTTAAAGCTGATACTATAAAGATATTTCTATTTTATTAAATTAACCTTAAATAAATTTTCATATTGAATATTTTCCCAGATCATTTGAACCTGAAATTCATTTGAACTATTTCTATTTTGAGAATTTTTATCATACTAAATTTCTATAAACAATTTTTAAGCCAACTCAATAGAGCTGTTTACAAATAATTTTTGGAAATAACATTGAGAAGTAGAAAAACACCGTATCTATAATGCACATACATACACAGACACAGCTTCTATTTTAAAACAATATAAAACTCACTAGTTTATAAAGTATTTTACTATTTGTGGAAAAGACTTAGAGTATGGGCACAAACTTTAGTGGTTTGTTTTTAAAAAGACCTGTTCCTTTTCTTCCCTTAAGTCTAAGGTGACTGGGGTTGTGCTTATATTTCAAAAGCATAAAATGCATGACTTTAAAGGACAGAGAAAGAATGCGAGTTGTTTATTTTTTTATTTTTATTTTTTAAGAGATTCAGTGTTAATTGCTATTTACCTTTTTGAAGCAAGGGGCATTTTGTCCTAATATCCTGATTTTTTGTCATATCTGCAAGCATTTTGAGAGAAATAGACAAAGTTTGAGGATTAGTAAAGTAGGTTTTGACTTATTTCTAGAGTTGCATTTCTGGTTTCCTAGAGATTTGCAAGGCAAAGGCAGTTGTTTTTAATTCCCTCCAAAGAACTGGGTTACAGCCTGAATACTAAGGGACTGACTCACCTTTTTAAATTAAACTAGCTACTTTATATCAGGGAGATTTTACCCAAAATGGGAATCAAAAGACTTATGGCTTTGTAAAGTCTGTAAAGCATTTTAACAAAAGCCTTCTTTCTGAGTACATAATTCAACCTTGGCTTCTATCAGTCCCTAAACATGGGCCTTCTGCTGATCATTTATAGGAAGGCCTAGGAGATTTTGGTCACCTGTTTTTTCCGTGTGTGTGTGTGTGTGTGTGTGTGTGTGTGGAGGGGTGGTGTTGTGAATGGCCATTAATCTTTTAATTCTTTTCTAAATTTGGGGAGAAAGAGGATGGAAGTAAAAAGTCTCTATGATTGAAAAGATCTGCTGTTGTTCTGGGGAAATAAATGTGTTGCCTTTTGGTCGGGGGTCTAGGATGTATCTGCAAAGGACACTGCACAGGAATGCCTGAAGCTGGTACAGCCTGATTACGGAGCCCTGGAAAACAGGAGCAAAGGGAGACTTACTGCCAGTGTCCGGAGCTTGTGTTAATTCATTATGTGACTTTCAGTACTTACATGAGTAATCCCTATACTTTGAACCTAAAGATTAGGCCAGAATGCTCTCTGTAAATCATATAGGGAAAGGGAAGTTAAAACAGGTAGATGGGGCCAGAGTGTGACGAGAATTTACATTAGATGTAGGATTTCTGTTCTCTCATCTTTTTTTTTTTTTTTTTCAACGTTTATTTATTTTTGGGACAGAGAGAGACAGAGCATGAACGGGGGAGGGGCAGAGAAAGAGGGAGACACAGAATCAGAAACAGGCTCCAGGCTCTGAGCCATCAGCCCAGAGCCCGATGAGGGGCTCGAACTCCCGGACCGCGAGATCGTGACCTGGCTGAAGTCGGACGCTTAACCGACTGCGCCACCCAGGCGCCCCTGTTCTCTCATCTTGTCAAGGGAATCCCTAAGGTTAGCTGTTAAACCCATAAGACAATTAAGAGATCTCTATAAATAATTTTCTCTTCTTGCAAATCTAGCCAATTTAAGGAACTCATCATCTGGCCATTGATAAGTAAGATCTTATTTGTCTGTATTCAGACCAATACATCTTTTTTTGGAAAAACATGAAAGCAACTTTCCAGGCTTAGACCATGGACACAAGAAGTATCCCTAGAGAAGCCTTAAATGATGCAGTCCCCGTGGTCCAAAAATTTACTCCCCAAAATAGTTTAAAAAAGCAAAAACAGAGGCACCTGTATGGCTCAGTCAGTTAAGTGTCTGACTCCTGGTTTTGGTTCAGGGCATGATCTCATGGTTTGTGAGTTCAAGCCCCACGGTGAGCTCTGTGCCGACAGTGTGGAGCCTGCTTGGGATCCTCTTTCTCTGCCCCTTCCCTGCTTGTGCTCGCTCTCTCTCTCTCTCCAAATAAATAAATAAACTTAAAAAAAAAAAAAAAAGTGAATGGGGCACCTGGGTGGCGCAGTCGGTTAAGCGTCCGACTTCAGCCAGGTCACGATCTCGCGGTCCGTGAGTTCCAGCCCGGTGTCGGGCTCTGGGCTAATGGCTCAGAGCCTGGAGCCTGTTTCCAATTCTGTGTCTCCCTCTCTCTCTGCCCCTCGCCCGTTCATGCTCTGTCTCTCTCTGTCCCAAAAATAAATAAAC